CAGAGGCACCCAAGTGACTTGTGGGAGATGAACTAAGCAGCTGTTCATCCCCCTTCCCTTCCCCTGTTCATTTCTTTCCTTCACTTCATGGTGGAGGCTGTGAAAAGTCTAGTCTGCAGTGAATCCAAGGTGGGGTGCCTACCCAGCAAAGACCTGGACATACATGCCTTTTCACCCCTGCTGTTCTGTGCGTGCCAATGTAACGCTCCCTCACCACAGACCAGCCTTTCTACTTACAGCATGAAATGGTCACCAAGAGGATCCTACTCCAGAGAGGGACTAAACGTACACTCTCTGGACTGAAGGCCAGAGGTCATAATGATGCCCTGGGCTTGGCCCAGTGAAATTCCCCCCATGATCAACCACCAGAAGCAGGGGATCAGATAGCATGTGAGAATGTGTAGACCCCAGAATGAAACCCAGTGCTGGGTTTGGGGAGGAGTGTTTTCCACAAGATCTGGGGGTCTGAGTAACTCAGGGTTGGCACAGAGGGATCAAAGCTTGGGTGAGGGCCCTGGGAGAAGGATGGGCCTGCACAGGACAGGGAGTGACTGGAGGAACCAGGATGCACCCCATGGAGTAACTTGTGTCAAGGTCTTGTCCTCAGGACCTTTCCCCCTGGGATCTGGAGATGTCACACTTAGAGTACAGCTTTTCTCCTTTCCCATATGTACTCCCTTAAATGACCCCTGAACATTAAGAAAACCAGATACACAGCTATATTGTGTTAATGGTTTGAAAATAAAGGGACAGGGTGGCCTTTATTGGGCCAGACTCTTTCTTGGGCCAGGGAAGGGACAGACTCTTCCCTCTGGTGCATAGTAAATTTTGACCTTGGGACTAGCTATTTCTGCATTCTTTAAGTTAATAGGCCTTCTCAGAATAAAATTTTGGTGCACAGATTCCCCTTCACATTTGTTGCATTCCTAGAGTTTCTCCCCAGTGTGAATTACAAAGTTTCATTTACTGCTGAATGCTTTATTTTGTAGAGCTTTGATAGTGGGGAGGTTCTCCTATATCAACTCTTAAGTCAGTGAGCTCTCATCTCCAAATGAAGGTTTTCCTGTGTTTATTGTTTTCTTGGTGTTTCTCCCAGTATTTCTCTCAGAGTTCTCTGATGGAGCCTTGACTTCTAGTTGAAAACTTGTCCACATTTTTTACATGTTTGTGATCTTCCCCACTCTGAATTCTATGACTGAGCTTAGATGATTTCTTAGTGAAAGCTTTTCCATCCACACTGAGAGGATTTCTGCCACGCTTCTGACTTAGAGCTGGCTTCCTGCTGAAGGCTTTTACACCCTGCCCACATCCATTCATACCCGTCTCTCTGATGTGAATGCTTTGCTGTACACAGGACTCTAGCTTTTTCTTTCGGGCTTCTTGCATTCAGTCCACTTGGAGATGATGGTCCATGGTGTGCACTGTTTTGAGTGCAGGGGGACATCCTCTATTACTGATGGTGTTATATTCAGTACATTTGTGAGGTTTCTCTCCCTTCTGAATTCTCTAATATATACAGAGATTTTAGCTCCTGGAAGAGGACTTTCCCACATTCAGTGTGTACATAAGATCTCTCCCTTTGATCGTTTTTTTGATGACAACTCCCTGAAGGCTTTCCCATGCTACTCGGATGCATTGTTTTGTCTTCTCTGATGTCTAGCCAATCAATTTGAACCCCTGAATAAGGTATTTTGTTTGTTTTTCCAAATTTGTGGAGTTTATAAGGCATTCTGCCTGTGTGGTTTCTTGTATGTTGAGTATGAGCTGGGCTGTACTTGTAGGCTTCCTCACATTCACTGCCCTTCAATGATTTCTCCCCAGTATGAATTCTAAGTTCCAGTAAAAACGGGTTTCTGGATTGGAGGCTTTCCACATAATAATCATAGTATTCCTCTCCAGTATGAGGTCTGTGAGTAGAGTAAGGTTACATTTTGATAGAAGCTTTTACTTACCTATGGGTAAGGTTATCACCTGTGTCCAGTGTATGGGGACTTGTATAGGAAGGCCTTTTTATATTAATTACATTCTTACACCTTCTCACTACTGTGAATATTTTGACACATTTATTACATTTGTGCTTTTTGAAAATTTCCCCAAAATTCATGGCATTCATTGTCTCTCACTTTACTCAGTGACTTCTTTGTGAATAAATGTAACTTTTCCCAAAAATATGACTTGGGTTTTCTGTTTCTTTTTCATATAGTCATCACTTTGCAAGACTCCTTCTACATTGGAATAAAACACACAATGACAAGTAAATCTTTGCACCATCATTTGGTACAATGAAACCTTATCAGAAATGCTTCGTTATGGTCACATCTTTGTTTCTAAATATGAAAAACTCTCAAGTGTAATATTTTCCATCTCTTGGGCTTTGAGAGGGGAGAATCGGCTCCAGTGTGGACAGAGTGATAGGTATAACAAGTGAGTTGGGAGTTTCAGAGATGACCTTTCACCTTTGGAGCACAGCATAGGACCCCAGATGGGATAAGGCTCTGAAAGGGAGAGGCTGGGTAGAGGAGTGGATGGAAAGGCAGACAGGGGTGTGGAGAGGTAGATCAGTGAAGGGATTGGCCTTGGGCATTTTAGGTCTGTCACTGCGTCCATGGATTACTATGGCAGGATGCTAAGTAGCCTTTGTGCTCATCTTTCCCACTCATCCCATACACCAGTATCAGAACCACTGTTCCAGGGCACCAGCTCCCCACACTTGCAGGAACCCTGCTACAGGCCCTGCCCTCCTTGAGGCCTGCAGCCGGCTGCAAGTTATTCTCATTTTTATCTGCAGAGTCAGAAACAGAAATACCACGAAGAGCACACTAACCTGGAGGATCATGGCCTCATGTGCTTCACGGATACAATCTGACAGATTAAATATCATTATGTTCTTATAAACACACACACACACACACACACACACACACATATATATATATATATATGAATAATGTCAAGAGATATATTTTAAAGTCTTGGCTCCCGTAACTGTGAGGGCTGGCAAGTCTGGAATCTGAAGGGCAGGTGGCAGGCTGGAAACTGAGGCTGGAGTTGATGTTGTAGTCTTGGGGCAAAATTACTTCTCTCTTGAATTTTTGCTCTTAAGGCTTTCAGTTGATTGGATGAGACCCACCCACATCAGTAAGGATAATTAATTCTCTCCCCTTGCTTGAAGTCAGCTGATCATTTGTGTTAACCATATCTACAAAATACCTTTATAGCAACACATTGCTTAGTGTTTGAATAACTGGGTACTGAAGCCCAGACAAGAGGACACATAAAATTAACCATCACATGAAGTAGTGGGGGTCCCTCATGTGGAGCCCTGCAGGAGTATTATGCCATTTCTCCCAAATTAGACACCTTAGTTTTCTCGATACATATACTTTCCAGAAACAGGTGCTGAATCTCCTGGTTCACATGAAAAACCCTGACTCTACTTATAACTATTCTACTCCAACTATCTAAAAGATAATTTCTATGTAATATATTGACCTATGAAAAGCTTCTGATTAGACTATTAGATTTCAATATTGGTTATTCTGACTATTAATGCCCATTTCAACTTATAATGTCATGGAAGGAACAAGAGAGTGGACATGAATCAACAGAATAAATTTCAATTCTAAATAGCATAAAACAAGGTTATGCCAAAGTCCTATTCTTCATTTCTCTTCTCTAAATAAATTGACATAGCCTTTTGCTTAAGTGGTTGATTAAACACTTACCTTCTCTGCTAAACATAAGGCTCTGCCACACGATAGTACAAGAATAAACATTATATAAGCTCATATGGACAAAGAGAGTATAAGGAGGGACAGGTCAGCCAAGAGAACTTTGCGAAGCAGACAACAGTGCTTTGGAAAAGAGAAGGGAGAGAGGCCTATTTTGTACCAGAATTAAAAAGACTTACAAAGATTGAGTGCTTGGAGGTACTAGGTATATGGACAAGAAAGTAATGGAGAAAACGGGGTTATTTTGAAAGTCCATCTATGAAACAATGCTCACACTCACCCCAGACACAGAAAGCCATCATCAGAAACCTACCCACCAGAGATGAGGAAAGACAGTAGTTTTTTTTTTCTTAGAGACATTGACTGGGAAAGTCTGTGGTCTTAGGCACACAAGGAATGGCAGGGGGCAGGGGTGAGGCAGGGGGTTAGAAACAAAAGCATTATTTAAAAACCTTCCTACAGAAAGATTAACTTGTCCCCTCACTCACCCTTAGAATTCTATAATCAGGCAACTACCAATCAGCTGTAAAGGCAGAATGAATTCATGCAAGGACATGAAGTTCATCTCTCATGCTTTCCTTCTTAGAAAGCTTTTGGAGGATGTGCACCCCAAAACTATGGAGTAAGCCAAGAAACGATGGATCCATTTCAAGAAATAAGTGGAGAAGATCTAGTTGGCATGATGTAGGCAATTTTAGAAAGCAAGTAGTCCATATTGGAGGGGAACCAAGGGTTCTGAGTGAAGGAATACAATATAAAGGTGAAACCAGAAGATGGTAGATCCATATGATGAAACATCTGATTATTTGCTAATTATTTGTGATCCTTTTTATAACACCCATCTTCCCCATTTCAGATTCATGAAAGCAATAACTGGATGCTTGCATAACCACTGTATACTAAGCTTAGCAGGAATTATTAAAATAATGGCTATGGCTCCCTTTCTGGTTCTCTGGCCACTAGCCTCAGCTTTCCTCTTCTAGAACACCCCCGAGAAGTGACATTCTTAGTGATACCCCTCTCATTTGGCCAGGATCCAGGCAGGACCTGCCATGGTTATCACAGGCTGTGCACATGAGACAGATGTCCCAGGGCCATGTTGTCAGGCTCAACTGTCTGTCTGTGAACCCATGGTCCCTGCACTCTCAGGCTGAAAGTGCACACTGACCTCTTTCCACCTTGCCACCCGAGGGCTGAAGAAAGGTCGTCTTGTGGAAGAAGTGTATGTGTGTAAAACCATGCCCAGAGCATAGGTGAAAGACTGGAGAGTTGTTACAGAGGCTCCCACCCACCCTCAGCCACATCAACCCTACTCCAACATGGGGCATGGAGTAGTGTGACATCTGTAGCCAAGTGGCTCTCTACAGTGGCCTAGAATGTGCCATAAAGGAGGTGGCCCAATGCAGTAGGTAAGCATGTGTGCCCTGAAGCTTCACTGACTGGGGCCAATCCTTGATTTACCAGCTGTGTGACTTCTGACAAGTTTCATGTGGAGATGGTAGACAGTCTCACATCATGAGGATTACATGAGTTAATATATATGCGGAGTGCCTACAACAAACAGCACCTGGTCCAAGATAAACCCTCAAATGTTAACTGTTATCCCCAGCAACCGGGTAAACAGCTCTTTATATTCCATAGCCTGAACACTATGGTTTCTGGGATCAGGTAGGTTCGGATGGTCACTGTGGGGAGCTAGGGCCAGGCTGGCCATAAAAAAACACTAACACTTGGAAGCAGGACTTCTGGCCACGTCTTAATGACATCTGCTTAGATAACCAGGTAACACAAATGCAGCCTGTACACCTTAAAACACTGGGTAGTTTCCTAATTTATTTTCAGGAAGACACACTGATGGATAATTCTTATGGCAACAATTTTTCTAAGGATACTGATATATGGAATACAAAGTAATGCATAGAATGAGGAAGTATATGTCCACATAAACAAATCCTGGCACTTGTATGGAATGATGATTAGCACAGCTGAGAATACTTCAGTGATGGAAAACAACTAAGCCTCATTTTTTTCTCCCTTAATGAACTGGTACAAAAATATTAGAAGTAAAAATATTACCAAAAATAGATTGAGCAGCTGTAGTGGTGCAAGCTGGGACACCTCCCACTGCAGGACAGAGTGGGACAGGTGTTTTATGTCAGTTTCCATGCTGTCCTGCTGGCTTATCCAGTGGTATATGGGAGGGTAGGGCATAGTGCAAAGGCAGCAGGGCAGGAGAGCAATTAGACAGCTGGAGGTCACAGTGTTCTGCAATTCATGTTCAAGGGAATTAAGCTGTTTTCTCAACCAAAGGCATGCTATTTGTTGTTTGGGGCTATTTTGTTCCAGGACTCAGGCGCAGACACAGTAGCCTGGAAGTCCGAGTTTGCTGAGGGGTAAAGGTGCCATTTTAAAAGCAGTAGCTGAATGTGGAGGAAGGCAATATCTTAGGGAGACACTGTCAAGGCCAGGCAAGCTTAGGTGGTAGGGAGAACCCAGCTGTAAGATCAGCTGGAGATGAGGAAGGCCCATCTGGGAACAGGATTAAAGGAATCGGAAAGGGGGAAGTTCAGAGCCATCTTCTTCCCCAAGAGCAGGCGGTTTCAGTGGCTGTGCAAGGCAGCTTGTAGATATTGAATATAACAAAGTCTGGGTGCTTATCCTCTACCTTGCCCTTCTCCTAGGCGAGTAGAATTGGTATGTCCAAGAAACTTACCCATGGGCTATTCCCAAGTATGTTAGGAGAGGCCTGATGTGGGAGGAGGTCCTCGGTCTACCTCTCCGGCTCCTGCATCTTTCCATAGTCCAGGGGAGGCAGGTGGGGAGACTGGCTATGTAGGTTCAGCACTTGCTCTGCCACACACAGGTGTGTTATGATGGCAGAGTTGTGGGTGTGCTGGGGTCTGCGCACTACACGGGCCATGGAGTAGTGTGACGAGGGCTGACATGCTGAGGACGGCACACTACTGGCTCACACACTGTAACCCTGAAGGGTCCCAGTGGTCCTCATCTGCTGCCAGTGTCTGTATGGCTGAGCAATAAGATTAGAAAAGCAAGGTGCAGAATGAACTACCTTCCCCAGGAATCTTTGGAAGTCTTAGGATTAACCTAGCTGGGGGTGGGGTATAGAAAAAAGTCCTTCTTATTAATTGCTGAGATCTGGTCTAACACCATGCAGATCAGTTGGCAGAAGAGAAGGTGGGTAAGGGACTCTTTGTCAGGGTTCTCAAAAATGCACTTTTAGGGGCTGAGCCAAAGGCGGTGCTGGGGCAGGTCAGTCTGCCCTGGCGGAGCCGTACTATTTCAGATCAGAAGTACAGAATAACACCCAGGCAGATGCTGGCTCCCTGGCTGAGGTCACATAATAAGGTGTTAGTCCTATAGCACAATATAATAAAGCCATTGCTAATGCCTGGACAAACAGTATTACCATAAATATATCCAAGTTGGCCCAGGCATATCAAATAGGCCATTTACTGACTATTTGCCTTCCCAGACAGGAATAAGTCATTAGGCATCTGAGAGTTCTAATTTCATGAAGACCCAAGCCTGTTGGGAAATGTGGACTATACAGGGCAAGCGGGCTGTAGTCTCAGATGGATGGCCTCCAGACTGCACTGGTTCTGGTGGAGCAGCAGCTCAGCTGTCACTGGGTCGAATACGGCTCTTAAAGTAGCAGCAGTTCTTGGCCCTGGCTCAACTACAGGCACACACCAAGGGGCAGTACCTCTCATCAAAGACAAACACAATGAACAAACTCAGCTGAGAAATGTATTTCTCAGGGATTCGGGGTAACGGGGGGTGATAGAACTGTATGGATAGTTCGGCAGGCAGGTTATCTGTAGTAACAAGCAGTGTTTCAAGCTCACTGTGGAATGTGGGGCTGCCAGCTGTGTGGCTGTAGATGTGTAGGCCTAGGGCATGGACAGTCCCGAGTTGCCTGAAATGCTGCTTCACCCGCATCTTTACAGAGGGGAGACGGGAGGTTGAACTGCTGATCACCTAACAGGAACTGCCTGCCCACACAAGTGGCTTTTATTAGATGGAAGATGAATTTGGAAAACTTTGGGCTTCTAAAGCTTCTGGAAGCTTCCAAGTCTATGTTCAACTTGGAGCCCACAGATTCCACCATGATAGAAACTCTCCTGTAACTTGGAGCTGAAGTGCAATGTTTGTGGGGGCCAGCAGGTTTCCCCACTGGATGGGAAGCAGTTCAGCATCCCAGGAACCTGCACTTTGCTTCCCAGAGTGACAGCTGACTTGCTCTTCCATCTTCATGATGTGGTATGTTCCAGCTTGGATAGTGCAGGCTTCCCATGCTTTATGGTGGGAAAGGGGAGAGTGCCACCAGAGGTGGTGTGTATGGAAGCACATAGGTATTATTCTATCTCTGTGATCCCACTGACAGCACTGAAGAATTAAAGATGGCAAAGAACAGTACCTGCAGGACTAGGGTATCAAACTTTTGGGCATGGACACTGCCCTGTCAGAGGATGTCAGAGGGCTGTCAACCACTTCTTGACCCATGGAACTACTCAACAGATTGCTCACTGCTGCCAGAATGGGTAGTCTTTAAGTGGAATATCCAGAAGGAGGAGATGGAATGGCCACTCTCAAATGCAATAGCAGAAATTCAGAGCTCTCTGCTTTTCCTGTGAATATTTTCAAAAAACTGAACAAAAGCAGGGCAAGGAGCAGGATGCAGGATGAAGCAGTTCAACAATAGGAGAGTAACACATATCTTCTAATGCAGTGAACACAGAGGACTGCCTGACCAAGGGAAAGAGGGTGGGTCAGAACCTTTTGAGGAAATCACCTTGGAGCTCTAAACTCTCATCAAGTCACAGAAGTGGAGGTGGCCCAGAACACCACTAGGTGGTTGGAATCATCACACCTGAAGCTGAGCATGGTCCTCACTGCTGTGCATAGGTAACAACAGTGCAGAAAAGCTGCCGGGTAATGTCTACACAGACTAAGCCCCTACTTTAGGTATCATCCCAAGGTTCACTGTGAAGCTGAGTCCCAGGAAAACTGCATAACTCAATATTTTGGTCAACCTCTGCTTCCCAGAGGTCCCAAGTTCTGAAAGCTGGGTTTGGGTGCAATATTCATAATCATGGACTGAGTGTGAGGTCAGATCACCACACTCCCCAAGGACAAATGAGGTGGTGGTAACCTGAGGTTACTAGTTAGGAGCTGCTAAATCAAAAGAAGGATGTGGCATCCAAATCAATTGTTCCAGGAGAATGCAGGTAAGAAGCCAGAGACCAAGGAGATCCAAAAAAAATGGTTTGAAGCAGAAGGTGGGAAGCATAATTTAAGTAACTCCCAGGCTGATGCATGGGCACTTTCTTTACACTGGGAGTCAGCAGCGGGGGTAAGGAGAACAAAGGGTTCTATTAAAGGTAGAAACTCTCCTAGAGAACCAAGTAAAGTGAAATGCTTACAGGACATTTTCTTATTTTTTTGTTCCTTTTCTTCTCACCTTAAATTTTACAATATTGTAATTTCTTTTATCAAAATGTAAATTGGATACACTAATTTCCCTGATGTTCACGAAGCTCCATTTTGGTTCTGAATACTTGGCAATTCAGACTAATTAAACATTACTGCTGTTCAGTTGAAGCAGTTCTCAACTATAAGGAGGGTTTACCATTAACAATTCTTGAAACCCACAATACTGTGAGGCTTGATTCTCAGTAAATAAAAAAACTTTTCATGTAAGCTTTCATGGTTATTCTCTAGGATGGATTCTCTTACACTCAATAATTAATACACTCAGTCTCAAAGGTCTTCCATAAACTTTAGTCACATCACTTTTCTCCAATATGATGTCTCTGATGCTGAATGAGGTTTGCAGTCTGGTTGAAAGCTTTCCCACATTTATTACATTTATAGGGTTTTTCTCCTGTGTGAATCCTCTGATGTTGAGTAAGGTGTGTGCTTCGGATAAAGGCTTTCTCACAGATTTTACATTTGTAAGGTTTTTCTCTAGTATGAATTCTCTTGTGTTGAGTAAGGGCTGAATGGTCACTGAAGGCTTTCTCACATATATTACAAGTATAAGGTTTCTCCCCAGTATGAATTCTCTGATGTTGGGCTAGGGCTGATTGGTCCCTGAAGGCTTTCTCACACAAACCACACCTGTAAGGTTTCTCTCCAGTGTGAATTTTCCGATGTCGAGCAAAGGATGAATTGTCCCTGAAAGCTTTCCCACATTCACTACACTTATAAGGTTTCTCTCCAGTATGTATTCTCTGGTGTTCAGTGAGGGAGGAGTTCACCCTGAAGGCCTTTCCACACTCATTACATTCAAAGGGCTTCTCTCCTGTGTGGATTCTCTGATGCTGAAGAAAGCTTGTACTCTGATTGAAGGCTTTCCCACATTCATTACACTTATAGGGTTTCTCTCCACTATGAATATTCTGGTGTTTGGTAAGATGTGCCCTGCACACAAAGGCTTTGTCACATATGTTACACTTAAAAGGTTTCTCTCCAGTATGTATTCTATGATGGTGGGCAAGGTGTATGTTTCGGATAAAAGCTTTTCCACATAAGTTGCATTCAAAAGGTTTCTCTCCAGTGTGAATTTTCTGGTGATAGGTCAGTGAAGAGCTCACGGAGAAGGCCTTGCCACATTCCTTACATTCATATGGTTTCTCACCAGTGTGAATTCTTTGGTGGTGGATAAGGTGTGTACTCTGGTGAAAGGCTTTTCCACATTCTCTACATTCATACCGTTTCTCCTTAGTAATATTTTTCCCATTTGTATTAAGTTTTTCAGTATGAATTTTCTGATGCTTATTAAGGGTTGAACTCTTAGTGAAGACTTTTCCACACTCACTACACTCAAAAGCTTTTTTGTTAGATTGAAATCTCTGACTTTGAACCAAAGATGAGCTCATAGAGCAGCAATTTCCAGAGTCATCACATCCCTGGTCACTAACCACAGCTGAGGTTTTCTGGCATGCAAATACCACTTGCTGCAACTTTATCTCCTGGTCTCCAGGCTGCCATTCCAATGGGCTATCACATTTCCAGTGACTATCTCTAGTGAATTTTTCCTTTCTCATCCACTGATCCAATTGTTCTTCAGGAATATCTGTCTTTAGAGTAGACATCTGACTCACATGTGTAGTCATCCAGTCTGAAAGACATCAAAAAATGCTTTTCTCTAGTAAAACATCTAGTTGGGAAAAGATGACCTTGTTTATAATGGTACCAAAGAGGTTGCAGTTTTGAAGATTTATTGAAGTGAAGAAAGGAAAGGGGAGGCAAAATGAACAGAGGACATGGCAGGAAGGGGCTGATCTAATGTATAATATAGGAAGCAGGAGGGCTTGGGAGCTTGAATTCAGAAACCACAGGCCCAGGTTGGGATCTTGAGTACAATACTTATATTTTTTGTGATTATAGAGAAATTATCTGACTTTCTAAGCCTCAAAAACCATTAACAAAAAGAAACCAAAACCCTATTCAGACCACAGAATGCTAACAGATAAGAAAAAAAATGTGCCTTGTCTATTTTAGTGATATGATCTTTAAAATAACTCCGATGTGGTCTTAAGAAACCATTGAAACCAGAGGTCAATGCTTGGTAGAGAAAAAAAAATTAGCTCCAGATTAACTATTAAAAGCAACATTTTTATGTTTCACAGACTCATCTTAGGATTCAGATAGATAATAAAAAGTTAGGCTACTAGAAACTCTCATATCTACTAATAAAATTAGAATTTCCTGACTATGGTAAGACTTTGTACTAAGAAATACAATGATAAGGACTATATACTAAGCACAGAGGATGTAAAGATATCTGGGAAATCCTATCAAGAATCCCTCATCACTTTTTTTTCTTTTGCACTCCAGAAATATCTACAAAGAGCTATAGTCAAACATAAATAAACTCCTTTATTTATCTGGAAAATAAAGTTAAATAGGTGCATTTTAAGTCTAAAATCCTGGTGAGCTCAGAATAATATATCCTTGCTCAAAAGAGAGAATGGTCAAAGTATTGCCAAATCTCGAAATCTTAAGGATGGACTTTCACTTCTGGACCTGACAGAGCATATGGTAGACCAGTATTTCTGTGGAAAACAACTGTAAATCTGAGTTGAAAAAAAAATATGTCTGAAGGTATCAGATATCACCTAAGTCCAGCTTGATAGTCTAATATTTGGGAGAGAAATGAAAAACAAGAGGTGATGCCAACACTTAGTGGTTTTTTTCCTCCTAGAATTTGCTGAATTCTTAGGCTTCTTGGGATAAGAGACTAAAGCTAAGCAGAAGTTTCTAGTTTTCTATAGTCAGGGTACTGTGGGGCCAAAAACTGGACTTCAGGACATTCCAAGGAAGGGGGACAGACAGTCCTAGTAAATGGGACTGCTGCAGGGCTAAACCCTAATAGCAAAGGCAAACAAGAGGTAGGCAAAGCTTTACAAATACTGCAACCCAGTCCCTAGCTATCAAGTTCCTGGTTGGATTAAGGCAGTTTGCTTGCTTGTCTCCTAGAGGAGAAGGCAAATATCCTGAGTAGTATAACATCATTCAGAGCCTTTTCACTCCTGCACATATAATGTTAGGATTCAGTAAAAAAGTATGAAGGGTACTAAGAAACTGAAAAAGGGAAAAAGCAGGTAATAGATAAAACCCACAGAACTCAAGATACCAAAGTTACCAGACACAGATTTAAAAATAAGCATGATTAATATGTTCGATTTAAGAATGAGAATTTCAACAGATCAGAACCAAAGGAACAAATGAAAACTTTAGAACTGAAAAATATAATTGAAAAAAGAACTCAAGACATCACAGAAGAAAGGAATAAATACATAAGCAGAAAACATCCCCAGTAAAACTTGGAGAAAAAAAATTAAAAAGACATAGAAGACATGGTGAAAAAGTTGAACATATGTGTGACTGGAGTTCTGGAATAGGAGGAGGAAAAGAATAGGGCAAAAACATTACTTGAAAAAAATAAAAGCTGAAAAATGGATTTGAGAAGCATTATATACTTCAAGCAGGATAAATACCAAGAAATTCCACCTAGGCTTTACATGCTAGTAAAACTACTGAAAACCTAAGACTATTCTTAAAGTTGCTTAAGAGAAAAAAAAATTGTTACCTTTAAAGGACGGGAAAAAAAGGACTGACAGCAGTCCTTCAACAAAAACAAAGGAAGCTAGAAGCTAATGAAACAACATCTAAAGTTTTGAAAGAACTTAATGTCAAAGTAGAATTCAACAGAAAGAAGATATTCCTGAAAATTATGAAATAGTATTTATATACAAATAAAAACAGAGATTGTGTCACCAGCAGACCCATATTAAAGGAAACAATAACAGTAGTGTTCTACACAGAAGAAAATCCAGGTGGAAATGTGGAAATGTAAAAAGGAACGGAAAGAGTAACTCTGTGGATTAATAAAAACATAACACAAAACAATGATTGTATAAGGCTGAAAATACATACGTAATTAAAATACATGATAAAAAATAACACAAAAGGTGGAAGGAAGAAAATGGAGTTAATGTTTTAAGGTATTGGCATTGTCTGGGAATTATTAAAAGTCAAAATTTACTTTGGATAGTAATAAGCTAGTGTAACTTTTAGACTTACCAATAAAAAACTAGTTAAAGAAGGTACATTAACAAGCTCATACAGGGTGAAAATGCAACAATAAAAATAGTTAACTCAAGAGAAGGCAAGATGAAAGGGATTTAAAGCAGGTGAGTAAAACATAATATAAATGGTAAGATAGCAGACACCCGATCCCATACAGACAGTAACTGGTCGAAGTGTCCCATTAAAAACTAGGATTTGTGAGACTGGATTAAAAAAATCCCAAGAATATGCCACTAAGAAGAGAAATACCAAAAATATAGACACAGAAATATAGAAAAGAATGGAAAAGGATTCATCATGCAAGAACTAACCCCAAGAAAACTGGCCTATTTATACTAATGTCAAGCTCTCACATTTTAGAGAAAAGAGACTTCAAGACATCTAATACTGACAAAAGGGTCAGTTTTTGAGGACCATGTAACAAAGCTACATCTGCACATAACATAGCTTCAAAAATGTTGTGACATAAAAATTGAGAGAACATAAAGGAAAAATAGAGAAATAAATATTAACATAGTGAGATATGTTTATATACTACTCTCAGTTAACTTACATACCAAACCATTAAGAATAGAGATGATCTCAACACCCCAATAAAACTAAGTTGACCTGACTGATAACTCAGAACAGTATACTCAACAATGATCATATACACTTTCTATTTAAATGCATACAGAACATTTACCAAAACTGACGATATACAGGGCTGTGAAGCAATATGAACATATTTCACAGGACTGAGGTCATTCAGAGTATGTTCTCTGAACCCAGTGAATTAAGCCAGAAATGAATACCAAAATACCAAAGACAATTAGAGAACCCAGATATTTCTAAATCAAACAGTACATTTCTGAATAGCTGATAATGAAACCAGAACAAAAATTAGAAAATATTTTAAACTAAATGATAATAGGAACCTGAAGTGGAACTTACAGGATGCAGTACAGTCATGGTTAGAAGGAAATGTACACCTATCTCCCTATAACAATTTCAATCACAAGAAATGGCCTCAGGCATCGTATGTAGGACAATATATAAAAAATATAAGAAAAATAGCAAATTAAACTCAAAAGAGAAGGACAAAAATAATGAAGATAGTGGAAATGAATAACTCAACAAAAAAATTGATAGACCTCTAGCAAGACTAATCAAGAAAAAGAGAGAAGGCACATATTAGTAATGTCAAGAATGATACAGGTAAAATTAGCACAACCTACCAGAATCTTATGAGCATAATTTTAAAAACATAAAATCGCAGACTATTTTCTCTCTGAACATTGATGCAAAATTCCTAAACATAATATTACCAAAAAGAATACAATGACTAAAAAAGGATATGTCACAAATAAATTGAAATTCAAGTTGAATTCAATTGTTTTCACATTTCAGTCACTCAATATCACATTAATAAAATAAAAGAGAAAAATCACATCATTATTTCAAAAGATGCTGAAAAGCACCTGACCCAATTTTGACATTCAGTCATGATAAAAACTCAGCAACACAGGAGTAGAGCATAACTTTCCTAACTGATAAAGAGTATCTACAAAAAATTGACACCAAACATCACAGTTAATTGTAAAATACTGAAAACATTTTCCTGAGACTCTAATGAATTAAGTTTGTCTGCTATTCTTATTTCATCTTAACATGTACTAGAAGTCTAAACCAGTATAAGGTAAAAACTTTAAAAAGCAAAGGTTGGAAAGGAAAAAATTAAAATGTCATTATTCTCATGATTATGTTCATATAAAAACACAAAATACCCTATGAACAGTCTATTAGAATTAATTAGGGAATTTAGTAAAGTTGCTGGACATAAAATCAATATATAAAAAACCAATAGTGTATCTATATGCTATCAACAAATAACTGGAAAAATTAAACTTTCAAAGGATATTTATTATTGCATCACAAACAATAAAAACTTAGAAATAAATGTAATGAGAGATGTGCAAGAACTGTACACATACAACTACAAAAAATTTTAGAGAAATTAAAGAAAACCTAAATGTAGGGATATACCATGTTCATAGAAGGGAATCATTCTAATTCTCTGCAATAATCTACAGATCCAGGCCAATTCTTATCAAAATCCCATCAACTGAATAGCTAATTCTAAAATTCTAAAAGCAAAGAACAAAGCTGGGGGACTTACATCAATTTTAAGACTCATTATAATGTTAGAGTAATTAAAACAGTATTGTGTTAGCACAAGATGAGACAAAAAGAATGAAACAGAATAGAGTCCTGAAACAGACCTATGCACAAAGAGACCCATGGAACAGATTATAGAACCCAGAATCAGACCCATGCATATGCACCCATGATATGTATGACAAAGGTACATTGCTGTGCCATGGGGAAAAAAGACAGTTTTTCAGTAAATGATCTTGGACCGACTGGACACTCATATGGAAAACAATGAACAATAAATCTTCCATGTGGATTGAAGACCTAAATAAAAAGACAAATAATAGAGCTGCTGGAGGACAACACAGAATATCTTCATGGCCTCAGGCATCG